TGCACTCTTTGTATATGCAAATATTAGAAGTCCTGTAAATACCCTTTATCAAGTTAAGGAAATCTTTCTCTCCCTGGTTTTCTGAAGTGTTTATTTTTTAATGAATGCTGAATAATTTTCAAGGGTTTTTGTTTTATTTTGTTTTTGTATTTTCGGCTTGAGATCAAGCAAGTTAACTTTTCCACTTTAATATATTAATGTGGTAAGTGATACTCCTAGATTTTCCTTTTTAAACCATTCTTTCATTTCTGAGATAAATAAAACTCGGTCATGATTTGCTAACATTTTAATACACTTTGTTGGTTTGCAAATATTTTCCTTGGAACTCTTATACCTATGATCGTAAGTGACATTAGTCTATGATAAAAAAAAAAAAAAAAAAAAAGATGGGCCAAAGACCTTAACAGCCCCCTCACCAAAGAATATGGCAAATAAACATATGAAAAGATACTCCACATTGTAGTTCATCAGGAAAATGCAAATTAAAACCAAGATATCACTACATATCTATTAGAATAACCAAAATTGAGAACACTGATAACACCGAACGATGGCAAGGATAAACACCAAATGTTGGAGAAAATGTGGAACAACAGGAATTCTCATTCATTGCTGGTTAAAAATGCAAAATCATATAGCCTCTTTGGAAGACAATTTGGCAGTTTCCTATCAAATTAAACATACTCTTACCATATAACCAAGAAATCATGTTCCTTGGTATCTACTCAAGAGTAGTTGAAAATTAATGTCTACACAAAAACCTGCATGTGGATGTCGATAGCAGTTTTACTCATAATTGCGAAAACTTGGAAGCAACCAAGATGTCCTTTAGTAGGTGATGGATAAACTGTGATACATCCAGACAATGGAATATTATTCAGCACTAAAAAGAAAAGAGCTATCAAGCCACAAAAAGACAAGGAGAAAACTTAAATGCTTATTTACTAGCTGAAAGAGGCCAATCTGAAATTAATGGTTCCAATTATATGACATTCTGGAAAAGGTAAAACTATGGAGATAGTAAAAAGATCAGTGGTTTCCAGGGGTTGGGGAAAGGGAAGGAGGATAAATTGGTGAAGCACAGAGGATTCTTCTGGCCATCAGACTACTCTGTATGATAAATATAATGCTAGATACATGCCATTGTATGTACATTTGTCCAGACCCACAAAATGTACAATGAAGTGAGCCCTACTGTAAACTATGCACTTTGGGTGACAATGATGTGTCAATGTAGGTTCACCACTGTGACAAATGTACCAATCTGGGGGGATGCTGATAATGGGGGAGTCTACACATGGGGTGGGGGATAATATGAGAAATCTCTACCTTCCTCTCAATTTTACTGTGAACCTAAAACTATTTTAAAAAGCAGTCTTAAAAAAAAATAGGAAAATGAGAAATAAAAACCCTCCAGAGTGAAAAACGTGGGTCCTTACCAAAGCCTACAAGATACCACATAATCCTACAGTCCCCTCCCTTCCTATGCTCTCTCTTCCACTCTCAACCTCTGTTCACTTCATATTGGCACCTTTGCCCTCCAACAACCGAACTTTAGGGCCTGGGCACTTACTGTGCCATCTGACTAGAACACTCTGACCCCAGTAGTCAATGTGGCTTACTCCCTCACTTGCTCAAATGGCACTATCAGAGGCCCCCTTAGACAACCTTTTGGAAACAGCAACCAACTCCCTCTCTCACCCTGCTTTAGTATTCTCCGTATCGCTTATTACCCACCTATTTGTTCATTTTTCTCTCTAGATAGAACTTAAGCTGCCTAAGGATAAATTTTATTCACTTCCTATATTCCAAGCCTGTACCTGACACACTTGAAGGGGCTCAAAAGTTTGCTGCACAAATTATGCAATAGCCAATAAACTAAATGATATAGAACATAACAAAAAGAGCCAAGTACCATTTTTTACTTCCATGAAGATTTCCAAAACATTAAATGAGAAAAACAAGGTGTGTATAATGTGTTATATTTTGTGTTAAAGAAAACAGGAGAAAATATCTGTTTATTTGCTTACATAGAGAATGACTTTCCAGCAGGCTACCTAACTGGTCACAAAGGTTGCCTCTTGGAGAGAACCAGACAGCTTAGAGTCGGTGACAGGGACTCTTCTTATTTTACACACCTTAAGCACACCAAGTCAAAAATGAAATGAAATGAAAAATAAGCTGGGCCGGTGGCCTGTGGAAAAAGGAAAAGACACCAGTTTTGAGAAATGGCCTGAGGGCTTAACAGTTGTTAATAGGCTACTACATTCCACATGCTCCAGAAATTATCCTTCTATCCAATATCTTTTCCTCATTAAGTCTGGAAAGAAAATTATCAAGTTGCTAGCAATAGTATAAGCTATAGTAAGTAGGACTACAGGATGCATTTTCTTATATTTTGATTTTTTCCATGTGGTTTTTGTCTTAATAGAGCAATAAAGTGCTTTATTGACTTAAAAAAAAAAAAGGGCTTGAAACCATTGGTAGGAGTCAAACAAGAAAATGAACCTAGTCACCAATCTCTGAGCTCATTTTCTTGTCTTTGAGATTGGGATTAAATTTTATTGTGGAGATTAAATAACAATGTCCTTTAATAGTTTTACTAGAAAAATAAATTTACAGGTGTGAAAAACTGAAGTTTTGGTGTATTTATATCTGACTCAGTCTGCTGCAGACATTACCAATGCAAATGCATTCCCTAGGCTTTGAAACTGCCTACTCATGCCTATTTCTTTCATTTAAAAGTTTGGATTTAATAGTTTTAATACTGTCTATCATACCATGAACCTAGTTATTTGTCCCATTTCTTTGGCTTCTCTCTGGTTGTTGCCACTCTCCAAGCACTCCAAGACCAGCCAGGCCTAGTATTTGTTACTTTGACCACCTCTGCTTCATGTCTTTCTAGCTCTGTCCGTATGCAACATCTACGTTGTTCACTTGCCATTTTCCTTCCCTTTGACAACTGTTTGCCAACTTAAGTTTCACAGCTTCCAGTTCCTAATTAGCTTATCTTGGAAAATCATGTTCTTTTGGACTTCAAGATAGGCTACATTAAGAGAATCATAATCCTACCCTACTATTCATTTAACTAAACAAATCTCAAATTAATGGAATTTCAAGACTCCCCCCTCAGTGTTCTTTGTCCTCATTAGAGGATACAGAAAGATAAGGCCACACTTTCACTTAATATTTACTGTAGTTCACAATGGAGAACTACCACTGTGAAGTCAAGGGTTTGCATTACTTACCCTTCTATGCCTGAGGACCAAAATAAGGTTCTATCTCTAAAGCACTCAAAACAATGAGTGACAGACATGTCCACTTATCAGAGCTAAGCTGAAAATGTTGAATGAGCCTGGACTAGCACTCTTCGAAAGTAAGTCATAATCAATTTAGGAGTCCCAACCACTTAGAATACGAAAAAAAGGGAGGAATGCACCCAAGTTTATCATTATGAGATGCTTACTAGTAAACAGACGGGCACTGAGTTACAGTTGAGTATGAATACTGTTGGCCTAGACAGCCAGCATTTCCTTTCCCCATAGAGGTAGAACTTTCTCTGCCTGTTTAAAAACTTTTCCCCTTCCCCTCCCCTCCACACCCTTTACCTTTTCATACTAGCTGCCCATCCTAAAGCTAGCTATAGGATTAATGACTCCTACTTTTGGCTGAGCTCCCACTTGCAAAAATTGAATGTCAGGATTGTTTGTTCAATCTCTGCAGATTTATTGTTGCGTAAACTTATCTTTATATAATACAGAACAATTAAAGCTAACCAAGTGCGACAAATAAGCCTGCCAATTACACACAAAACTTTATACCAACCATAATTCAGCCAGTTGTCAAAATTCCAAAAACACAGAATCTAAATAACTTCCAACATACTAGTGATCACTCGGGCCACCAAATTTGAGGCAGACCAGTATTCCCAAATTGCAATACTATCTAATGACTTTGTTGAAAAGCATAAGGAAATGAACAAGGCTAGATACCTGTGCCACCAGCACTGACTTTCTTTGCACCAAGGATAAACACCTGGTAAAAGCTTGACCAGAAAACTCTCAAAACTGTTACTAACTGCCCTACTATACTTAAGATATTTGAAGTCTGAATAAAGAACCTACTGGCTATAACATTCTAAGTCCTACCAGTTGCTATCAAATAAACTTAGCTACATGAAGTGTTGCTAAATATAGGTGAGATTTACAAAAAAACCCTTTAGTCTCATTGACATTTCTGATTGACATCATTTACTTTGCACCAGCCTGGCAAAATAGGAGAATGTTGGTAGTTGGAAACTGCAAAACCTAGCTTGAAAATTAACAGGTCTTTGCTCAGGATAAGGCAATCCATTTGAAGAACAGAAACAAGTATTTGGGCTGGAAATTTTGCAAAGCTGGTTTACATGAAAATGTTTTGTCCCAAATTCAGACAATTCCCCAAACATGCATTTCTTTTGGTATAAAACTGGATAACTGGTGTTGAAAGCAAAGAAACAAAAGAACATTGACTGGAACTCCCTGAAATAGGGAGTTCTAATTTGACACTGTCCCACTCAATAACCTGAAAACTGCAATTAGTTACTTACTTAAGCCTCCAGAAATCAGCTTCTCCCTAGTTCTTATACCACATTTAATAAGCTTTGCTTAGTTCCTGTCATGCTCATTTATAGCCAAATCAGTGGTCCCTCTAACTTGACTATTGATCATTAAGTTTGACAATATCTTTTAACACGAAATAGATCTAGGGATTTGTCATGATGCATTCATACTATTAGAGGGGACTCAAGATCATCTTACCCAAAGTTCTAAGGGTAAAATGGAATTTTCAAAGTCCCTTAAGATCCTGGCCAAGTGTTATATATAGAAGAGTTATGATATTCAAGAAGACAACCAACACCATTAAACTTTGAATGCAGGTCTGTATGAATACCGTTAGTAACAATGTTTCACTCCTGAAGTTTACCAATTGAGAAATATTTATTGAACACAAGTCAAAAGTCTAGTTAGAAACATTTTATTTAAATGTGCCAAATAAAAACCCACATTTTTCAGACCATAGGATGTTAATACATTCAACAAATTTATAATATCTTACTGCTGTGAATTTACAGAGTGATAATCCAGATCTATTTTGATTAGATGGTTGAAATATCCTTCCTAGGTTACAGTTTACAGACATCACAAATCCCTTATAATAATGTAAACAAAATAACTTTTCCCTAATGGGTGAACTTGAGAGCTTCAGTCCATTCTTTCAGGACTTGCACTTCTGCGTGGACTTCCTGATGGGGAACGACTAAAAAAAAAAACATTAGGTTTGGAACCAATTAGTGTCTATTGAAACTTACTCTTCTCATGTACATGTATTCAATTTCAATAAATTCACAGGTGGCCAAAGGTACTGAGTTCCTACAGCAAACATATCTTTTATAACACCTAAAAATAAGAGATTTATATATTCACCTTTTGTCCCTATTTAAGATTAGGCTACTTAATACTCTCCTTGTCAAATTTACAAAGTTAAATTAAAAAGGACAATTATTTCAAGTTTTTTGGTCATTAAATAGCACAAAGCAGATAATGATTTAGTTATAAATTGCAACTATTTACAAGATTTATCGTCCTCCTCATGTGGACACTTCCTTTTTACCTACTGTCCATATTTAGGGAAAAAAAACATATTTCCAAAATTAAGTATTCATGAGACTAAACACATCTTATCACTAACAGACTAAAATATTTCCAACAAAATATAAACTGACATTCCTGAAGCAAGAAAAAGCAATCATTTCAGAAACTCGACATCTAGTATTTTAATCTATATAGCACCAATTCTCCAAAGAGCTCAAAGACTGCAAAGTAGGCAGTAAACAAATTGTGCAGAGGCCACGCTTGACAGGTAAGATTTGGCAACAAAACATCATTTAGCTTACCTTCTTTTTGGAGATGGAGATCTGGACTTTGATCGGCTGTCAAAACATGAGAAATTCTATTAAGAAAAAGTACTAACCAACCCCATTCTTACAGTCACAATACCATAAAACAAACCCCCAACTGTCCTAAACTTAAAATGTCAGAATGCAGTTAAACTGAGAAAAAGCCCAGTAGTTGTTGCTTAACAAAGGCCAATTTTCCAACTGCTTTTCAAAAAATAAGCAAACTATTATTACTGTATTTTATCATGATTTATCTAATACATTCTGTGTTAAGCACATTTATTTCTGGATGCTTCTCCATGCACTCATTAGTTCTGACAACGGCCTCTAAATATGTAACTCCCAAAGTCACAAACTTCTTCCTCACTATAGTTACACATTCCCTTGTTCAGGAAGTCAGCCAGTAATAGGCCATATATACATATATAAATGAAGCTCTAGTTTGGTTTATTAAAGAGGTACTTCACACCTAGGCTTAGAGTTTACACTTAAATCTTCAACAATTCAAAACACTTTGAACTCTTTGGATATTGGTGCCATATAACTAGATAGAAGAGCATTAATCAGATTTTTACCCTACCTGCTTCTTGGTCGGGAAAGAGACCTGGATCTTGATCTTGATCTTGAACGGGATCTTAATAAAAAGAGAAGTGAAACAATTATACCAATTGGTCGATAGGAGTTCCCTTATACACCTACTAAGCACCTTTTTAGGTAGGTTAAGAATAGAAGAGCTAGGCTGGGCGCAGTGGCTCACACCTACAGTCCAGCTTTCTGGGAGGCCAAGGCAGGAGGATAGCGGGAGCTCAGGGGTTCAACACCAGCCTGAGCACAGTGAGACCCCGTCTCTACCGAATAAAAAACTAAAACAAAATTTTTAAAAAAATACACAAAACCACAAAATCCAGCTCGGTGTTGTGGCGTGCGCCTATAGTTCCAGCTACCCGAGAGGCTGAGGCAGAAGGATAGCTGACAGCCCAGGACTTGGAGCTTGCAGTGAGCTACAATCACTGCACTCTACCCAAAGACACCGAGTGACATCGTCTAAACTATAACAAAAAAAATTTAAAAAGAAAAAAAAAGAATAGAAGAGCTAAAACTGAACAAGACGCAAAATATCAATCTAAGGATAAGAAATAATCACTTTCAAGCAAGATGTTATCTAATAGGGAACCACCATTTCAATTGTTCCTACCACAGTCAAATGGTTAGTTCCTGTACTGAGAAGCAATATTCTCTCTCAAACACTGTACTATCCAAGGGAAATAGATGTCTTTCATTTCAGAACACTGATATGACTTAATTTTAAAGAAATCAACTTCAACTTACTTAAGCCCACAGACCCCTGAGCTGAGCACAGTGGCACATGCCTGTAGCCCCAACTACTCCAGAGGCTGAGGAGGACTGCTTGAGCCTAGGAATTTGAGGCTACAGTGCACTATAACTGTGCCTGTTGATTAGCCACTGCACTTTTGCTTGGACAACATAACAAGACCACACTTCCTTAAACAAACCAACCAACCAAGCAACCCGCCAGATACCTGAAGGGAGACTTCAATTCATCAGGTGATAAAGCCCAGTGAAAAAAGAAAGCCACTACACTAAGTAAGGCTTTATCTTGGATCTTCAAGTTATCACGGTTCAGAGCCATCAGTTTGTCAGACATACCAAATGAGGCTCCCATACACGTCATTTTTTATTAAAGATCCTGCAATCAAAGTACATTTATCTACAGACATGGACCATAACTTTCTCAAATGGACCGCAAGATTCAGAGTTCCTGCATTTAAAGGTTTTGCGCTATTAAACAATTACCGTTTCTGGCAGATTTAGAGGATTAAAAAATAAACAGCAATGAACTCCCCATAGCATTCTCTTCCACTGCTTCACTGCTAGTATTAACATCTCGTTTTCTGTATTTTTTTTCATTCTATCACCTTTTAAGACTTTCTACAAAGAAAATAAAGCTGGGGCTCTTAGTGTAATTTTTCAACTCTATTTACAGTGTTGTGTCTAGTTAAAATCCACATTCATCCATATGTACACTAATACCCTATACAACTTTCCAGGGGTTTCTTTCTTTCTTTCTTTCTTTTTTTTTTTTGAGAGTCAGTCTCACTCTGTTGCCCGGGCTAGAGTGCCGTGGCATCAGCCTAGCTCACAGCAACCTCAAACTCCTGGGCTCAAGCAATCCTTCTGCCTCAGCCTCCCGAGTAGCTGGGACTACAGGCATGCGCCACGATGGCCAGATAATTTTTTCTATGTATTTTTAGTTGTCCAGCTAATTTCTTTCTATGTTTAGTAGAGACGGGGTCTCGCTCTTGCTCAGGCTGGTCTCGACCTCCTGAGCTCAAACGATCCGCCCGCCTCGCCTCCCAGAGTGCTAGGATTACAGGCGTGAGCCACCGGACCCGGCCAACTTTCCAGGGTTTTGAAGTTCACCCCATCATTCCAAAAATCACAACTGTTTCAATTTGCTTCTAAATCTCTTCCTGGTTCTATGGGCTTTCTTGTCAGGAATCAGGCAATTACCATTTTTCAGGACTGTGATCACTTACCTATATAATAGGCAGATAATCTGACACCAGAAAAGGTTAGAGCAAAATGCCTACATAAAGTATGTGCTAGAATCATTTGTTTCTTTACTGCCATGCTCTACTGCCATGGCCTCTTAACAAGCCTTGAGAGCCTTGTTCTGTTGCCCAGGCTCACAACTGCAGTTGCACCACTATCATAGCTCACTGCACTCTCAAACTCCTGGGCTCAAGCAATCCTCCTGCCTCAGCCTCCTGAGTGGCTGGGACTACAGGCACACACTATCGCTCCCAGCTAATTTTTAAAATTTTTCTGTAGAGACAGGAATCTTGCCAGATTGTTGCCCAGGCTGGTCTCAAACTGCCTAAGCCTTCCAAAGGACTGGGATTACAGGTTTAAGCTACCTCTCCTGGCTTAGCCTTAAAATCTTTAGGAGCACTTTTCTTCATCTATAAAACTTAACAATAGTCAAGTCACAAATCATGTATAAATTCAACTTTAATATCTCAAATATTCTCTGAAACAATCCCTTTAAATTTTGTCAAGATACTCCACTGCTGTCAATAAGATGTGACAATCCAAATACATTCAAGGGAAAAAAATGTGTTACATACTGGAAATACCTCGATCCTTTTATAGAACCAGACCTAGATCTTCTGAGTGAAGCTGATCTTGATCTACGAAGAGACACAGATCTTGATCGTCGAGGAGATGCTGATCTTGACCTAAAAATTAAATCAAAGAACTTTAAGTCCATCTTCAAATGAAGTTCATTATTGTTAGTTAAGAACTGAATTACAGGCCAGGTGGGGTGCTCATGCCTGTAATCCTAGCACTCTGGGAGGCTGAAGCAGAAGGATCGTTTGAGTTTAGGAGTTCAAGACCAGCCTGAGCAAGAGCTAGACTCCATCTCTACTAAAAATAGAAAGAAATTAGCTGGACAACTAAAAATATATAGAAAAAATTAGCTGGGCATGGTGGCATATGCCTGTCATCCCAGCTACTTGGGAGGCTGAGGCAGAAGGATTGCTTGAGCCCAGGAGTTTGAAGCTGCTGTGAGCTAGGCTAACACCACAGCACTCTAGCCCAGGCAACAGAGCAAGACTGTCTCCAAAAAAAAAAAAAAAAAAAAAAATTGAATTATACTCGCCATCAAATTGGCACTGACTAATCAATAGCAAGGTGCTCACGCAGTAGTAATATTCTTTGGGGGTAGGGGGTTGGGGGTGGGTAAACTCACAACTAATGAAAGCAGTGAGCATTGTTGGGGGGAAAGGGCATGTCTCAAATCATGGTTGGGATGTGGCAAAGTCATAACATATAACCAAAATGTTGGTATCCCCATAATTTCCTGAAATAAAAAAATATATATATGTATAAAAAAAAGAATTAAATTAGACAACATCTCTCACCTCCGTCCTCTGCTCCTGCTGCGTGAGCGAGAGTATCGCCTTCCTCTGGATCGAGAATGTGATCTAGACCGTGACCTATTTTTCAAGTTAGGAAAAAAAACAAAATTTTAGACAATAACTCGTTTTTAGAGTTTGTATGCCTCTGCTGAAATCAAATCTCAGAACTATTTAAATTTAGTGTCTCATTTGGAAACAAACTCTGGGCCTATTAGTTGTCGAGTTTTTTTTTTTTTTTTTTTTTTTTACTACCTAAAAAAAGATTTGTTAAAAGCTGAATTACATCTTAGAATTACATAATATAAAACACTGTAATGTGTATTTAAAATAAACCTTGCAAGTTTGCAGGTCGACCCTCTTTGGCCCATGGTCTAGTAGATCTAGACGATCTAGAAGTATCTATAGCCGATCGCTGCATCTAGATGTTTTCTTCAATCTAACGACGATCAAACTGACAGCCAAATGAGCCAGGTGAGGCTTGATTGACGCAAGAAGATTTTTCTAGTTGGGAATGTGGTCAATCTGGTGTTCCTCTTTCTAAACCGGAGGGGGGCCCCAATTGTAAGCCAAATTTACTGTTACGGCGATCACCGTCTCAAATTTTCTGCCCTTTAAAGAATAAGGTGAAGCTAGGTGTAGATGACTCGAGGGGATCTGGCCTCTTATGCTGATCACCTCAAGGTCTAGGAGGATCTTAATTGTCGGATTTGCAAGGCGCCTCAGCATGATATCATAAGGCTCGTGACATTCTGAATCAAGGCGACTGACTCAAACGAAGAAACCTGAAAGGTTTTGACCAGGTTGATTATTAATATATTAACATTTTTTAATTAAACAAAAATTGTAAAATACACCTGTATAATTAACATTCAAGTTTACAGAAAAACACTAGTTTCTGCCTTGCTAATAAAAAAATTACTTGATTAACTAGAATACCAACCATTCCTTTATTAAAATAAGTACCTGCTTCTTCTTCGCCGGCTGTAGCGATGACAATCATAAGCATAATGTCCCTTTTCACCACACTCATAGCATCTATCATTAGGATCAAAGGGA